CAATACGTACTTTCACACTTAATTTAACAGTTACTAGTTACAATACGTACTTCTACACTTAATGGAACAAACAGTTGCTAGTTACAATACGTACTTCCACACTTAAAAGAGACGAACTGTATTCCAATGGATTTACTACAGTATAGTATTTTTGTGAATCAGTCCTGAGAATCAGTCATCGTCTCCGCTATCTCCTCTTAACGGTATAGTCAATGTTGCTTTATTAATAAAACACATATGTCAATAATTGCAGGAAATACCTCAGAGAACATGACGATATGTTTTTGGTTAAGCTAGTCAGTAATGCAGACAGTATTTCATTACCAGTATTTGGTTTTCCTATTATATATATGTATGTAATTACACACGTTTAAGTAATCCAGACTTATAAATGTAACACAAAACAGCTCTTCCTTACATCATGATAGTCTATATGTACAAAAAGACACGCTTAAGAACATGGACCTTTCGACACAAATTAAGAACGAGGTACAGTTCAACCTACGGCCGAGGCTTTATTTTCACTACATATATATGTAATATAAAAATCGTATTATGATTTACTTTAATTCAATATAGCATAGCGATATGTTCCGAATTCCACTACAGAGTTGCTAGAATGTATGTCTAAACCGTTTTATTACAGTGTTTTCTGGTCCCGCTCGATCTCTGCTGCGAAGTGCGACAGACACACAGAAAACGTTAACAAGTACCAGTATCGTATATATTAATGTTTTATGTCTAATAAGTAGGTCATTGTTTTAACTATTCAAGATAACGGAAACACATTCCTGAAAGGATGTCCGGTACACACGTACTTTTTTCCGGATCAGTTACGAAGGCGGACGGGTTTCATTCGTGTACAAAATATATGCATATACTGTGTAGTCCTTGTCTTGGTCGTCGTGTTGTGATAGACGTTTTCTCAGTTCGTATTGGTAATTCATGTTTTGTCTATTTTCATGTGAGTTGATAACGAGTTACTTATGAATTAGATAATTTCCAGTTATAAAGAAATCATGATTAGAATCAAAGATCGGTAAAGTAGTTAACTGTGTATAGAAATGCAAGGACTTTATAATCATTTACAAGATAAAAAATAGTACAAGGTGTGTCGCTAAGGAATAACATTATACTTAGATCTCGGGTGAAAAAACTTGTGAAACTAAGGATTTTTTTCTATCAGCACTGACACGGTAAACACTGCATTCGGAGTAAGTATCGAATCCAACGGGACATACAAATATTATTGAGCAAAGCTTGGAGAACATTAACAAAATCGTTTTACTGTTTTCCATCTATTCCAAAATATATACTTTTGTGGGTGTGTTTTAGTCAGGTTAGTGTATGTTTAAGTTACATCCGCGTCACTTCATTAGCTAGATACACAAACGCACTGATTCTCAAGAAGGTTTCGTGGACACATATTGCATATAACAGGTCACTTCCAATTAAATTTATATTATATTCACACTCATTCAGCGAAATTAATGGAAATGAACGAGTGATGTAATTAAAAGCAATGCACCGATTTTTGTTATTTGTTGTTTAAGAGGTCCCGGGAAGTTCCACTTACCCCTAAATACATGTGTACAGTTAAGGACTCTGCCAATCCTTTCCAACTTTATTTATAATTAACTGTGTATACATAATCTGTGTTGTACTCAGCATCCACAACTTTTAGCCAAATTACTGGGTCAACACGTGTGAAAAATAATTAAGCACTAGAATGAACGTCAGCTTCTTAAAACTAAAAATAGAAAGTAGCTGCTCCCACATTCCTGGGTAGTATTATTAAATAGTTTAAGGGTTTTTTCTCCCAAACACATTTATAACTATGATATATATGTGCATTTCATTCCGTAATCCGTCAAAACAAACTCCCCAATCTTCCCAATTTCATTTTATCTCTTATTCTCTCCCTCTACGATTTCTTTTTTCCCTTCTCTCTCTATCCCCCTTTTATTTCCTCAAATTCCTCTTTCCTTCCATCCATTACCCTCTAACTCCCCAGACCATCTCGAACTCCCCACACCATCTCGAACTCCCCACACCATCTCTAAATCCCCAGACTATCTCTAACTTCACAGACCGTCTCTAACTCCCTACACCATCTCCAACTCCCGAGGCCATCTCTTACTCCCCAAATCGTCTCTAACTTCACAGACCGTCTCTAACTCCCTTGATCATCTCTAAATTCTCAGACCGTCCCTTACTCCCTTGACCATCTCTAAATCCAAAGACTATCTCTAACTCCACAGACCGTCTCTACCTCCCAGGCCGTCTCTAACTCCACAGACCGTCTCTGAGTCCTCAGACCGTCTCTAACTCCCCAGACCGTCTCTGAGTCCTCAGACCGTCTCTAACTCCCCAGACCGTCTCTGAGTCATCAGACCGTCTCTAACTCCCCATACCATCTCTTACTCCCCGGACTATCTCTAACTCCCCAGATCATCTCTAACTTCACAAACCGTCTCTAACTCCCCAGACTATCTCTAACTCAACAGACCATCACGAACTCCCCAGACCATCTCGAACTCCCCCAGATCATCTCCAACTCCCCACACCATCTGTAAATCTCCACGCCGTCTCTGACTCCCTACACCATCTCCAACTCCCGAGACCATCTCTTACTCCCCAGATCGTCTCTAACTTCCCTGACCATCTCTTAATCCCCAGATTATCTCTAACTCAACAGACCATCACGAACTCCCCAGACCGTATCTAACTCTCCAGACCATCTCTAACTCCCGAGACCATCTCTAAATCCCGAGACCGTTTTTAACTCCCTAGACCATCATCGACTCCCTACATCATCTCTAACTCCCCAGACTATCTCTAACTCCCCAGACCATCTCTAACTTCACAGTCCATCTCCAACTTCACAGACAGTCTCTAATTCCCCAGACCATCTCTTTCTACCCAGACCGTCTCTAACTCACCAGACCGTCTCTGACTCCTCAGACCGTCTCTTACTCCCCAGATTGGCTGGTCCATCCTATTATTCATGAAATGTGTATTCTTAATGAATCTCCTAACTAATCATTAATATGTAAAATGTTATTCCAATCACCATCAAACACGTCACGGAGTAAGAGCTTTCTTTAATTGTCGGTTAATGTTTTAGTACATCATAAAGCTATCCATCAGTTATGCCGTCCTATTTAATGTCTGTTGATGTGATCGATCCGTCACCAGATCGTCTAATTGATTACCCTACCACAATGTTTGTATATTATTGTTTACACCTGTTGGTGACGCATAATATCTGGACTTAAATAACTCGCTGAAGGTTGTAAACTATATCGACATACAAATAAGGCATGGGCTACAACTCACATCGATATAAGATATACACGTTAAAGTGTAACACGGACATGCTAGAAATACAAATGTTTCATTGGTATACGTTATACATATTCCGTTCTAAAAGTAAAGAATATTTTTTACACTAAAGCTGTAAATACACTTAAACAAGCTCTGACAAAAAAATCATTTATTCAAGAAATACAAAAGGTAGGAAACAAAACGTAACTATACATCAGTGTAAATTCGTATTTGATATAAGATCATTCATACAGAAAAACTTCAATAGTTACAGTACAAAATGATAGAAACTAGTATCGATGATTTATTTACTACTAATCGTTACGTTTAACAAATCCTACTCAATTCGAAAAGAAGAATTTACTTTATTCTTCCGAATTAAAAATCGTTTTTGTATATTGCCTTCCTAAAGCAAAACTTAGCTGACAGCTCGAACATGGGTGACTATTGGAATGAAATGTGTTTGAATGTAAGTCGAAACTACCTCACCGCCCTAACAATGTACACGTAGTCGCGAGAGCAGTAAATAAGAAACTAGTAACTGCAATTTTTTTAAATGAAATATTTAGATTTTAAATCAATAATCGAATTTATTACAATGCTAGAGAAAATGTTCTTAAATCGTTTTGGTTGTTAGAGTTATCTTCCTTGATATGTAAGATGCAATCATAGGAATATCAGTCGATCATGAGAAAACCTGCTGTTGATATCAGAAACAAATTACTTACTTTACAAAGTAGTTTATTCGGTTTATTTACACGATATATAAATAAAACATTCATTTTTAAAAAGTAATGATTTGTTAATCTAAAATATCACAACAAAATCACGGGTCAGATACAGGATTCCATTAAGCCTTTATGACAGAACAAATAACGCATGACATTAATAAACAAAATATGTCTACATTTATTATGATGTTCAGGTGTATGACACGTATGTAGCTATTTACATGAGTTTACCGATGGTAAATTGTACTTATGTTACTGCTTAAACTGGTACACTGTACCTATGTTAATGGTTAAACTGGTACATGGTACCTATGTTAATAGTTAAACTGGTACATGGTGCCTATGTTAATAGTTAAACTGTACACTGTAACTACGTTAATTATCAAAATAATTGATTTTAAAACTGTACATTGTACTTATGCTAATAGTCAAACTGTACATGGTACCTATGTTAATGGTTAAACTGTACATGGTACCTATGGTAAAGGTCAAACTGCACATGGTACCTATGCTTATAGTTAAACTGTACATGGTACCTATGTTAATGGTTAAACTGTACATGGTACCGATGGTAAAGGTCAAACTGCACATGGTACCTATGCTTATAGTTAAACTGTACATGGTACCTATGTTAATGGTTAAACTGTACATTGTACCTATGTTAATGGTTAAATTGCACATGGTACCTATGGTAATGGTTAAACTGTACATGGTACCTATGGTAATGGTTAAACTGTACATTGTACCTATGTTAATGGTTAAATTGCACATGGTACCTATGCTAATGGTTAAACTGTACATGGTACCTATGGTAATGGTTAAACTGTATACGGTACCTATGGTAATGGTTAAACTGTACATGGTACCTATGGTAATGGTTAAACTGTACATAGTACCGATGGTAATGGTTAAACTGTACATTGTACCTATGTTAATGGTTAAACTGTACATATTACCGATGGTAATGGTTAAACTGTACATGGTACCGATGGTAATGGTTAAACTGTACATGGTACCGATGGTAATGGTTAAACTGTACATGGTACCGATGATAATGGTCAAATAATGTACAAAACAACTGCAAATTAAACATCTTTTACAAGTCTTCCTTTCGATACATAGCTAAGCCTCGGCAAAATCGGACTCTCTGTACACTCTTCATCAGTAAATCGATAACGGTTACAATTCCTGCATAACTTAATGCCTTAGCTTGTTTTCAAGGAGAGCTATAGGCTTGTTTTACTTTATAAAATCATATAGACGAATAATTGTTATTTAATAGAGAAAACAAACAATTTTATGGGTTCCCACATGCTAACATTTCTGTGAAGGATGTGAACATACAATGTGAAGGTGGATCTTCTTTTTGGCAGTTGTAGGAACCAACGTTAAAACAAGATACCTAAAATAAACAAAGGTATAAATAAACAAATAGATGGATAGATAAATAGCAAAATATGACAAAATGCAACTTTTAGCAGATTTTCATAAAATCGAAAAACAGAATCAGCGTTCTCCAATTATACTTTGTATCGTCATTAGATTCTAGAGGCACTTTTCCTCTGTATAGTTCTCTAAGAAAGTGCACAGAACAACTCATCCATAATTGTTATCGACGAAATAATTTCTTCATTTCTGCTCTGAATGAACTATCAAAGAAGCCGTATATAAACGGATTTGACACATGATTTAACAAGAAGAACTGAAATATAAACAGGTACACCTGTCTCTCTATAGAGGAGAAGTATATCCAAAACTCGTCCGAGTCTAGATTGATGCACATATTTACAATAAGAGAAGGTACATAAGTCACACCGGTAATGGCTGAAATTGTCATAAACATTAAAGAATATCGATGTGTCGCCCATTTATCCTTTTTCTTCTTAGTCTTCCGTGTACCGTCAGGATCTCTTGAACCGGAAGTGCCGACATTTTGAGTCGTCACTTGGCTTTCAACGACTGAAGTTTCTTCTTGTTTCGAAAACTCCATATCAGCGAGTGACTTTACATTGGCTGTAGTTCTCATACCTCCCTCCATCTCTCGCTTCCTCTTCATCTGATTAAAGATCCTCCTTCCTATCAACACGTACATGAAAGCTATTCCGGAGATGAAGGAAAGTGCAGTAACAAACATGCAATAAAAGTAGATACTGATAGCCAATTCAAAATCAGTACTGACGTTAGTTCTCCTGCCACACCTTGACCCCGTGACCCCTAATATGGTGTTGTGGATGGCCGAAGTTCCGTAGAAAAACAGAATTGGAATGTCAATTAGCACTGACGCGATCAACAGAACAATAACAGCAGCCTTCTGCCACCCAATCGTCATTTGCCATCCAAATGGCCGACACACCTTTAGATACCTCTGGATGGCTATCACAAGGATTAACATACCAGACGTGTTACTGAGATTTCTTCCATTAAACCAGGCAATCTTACATCCCCAGTTGTCGTAAAAAGTTACAGGTAAGATGTTCAAAAGCAGATAGGTTGCCGGACCGGTGACACAGACGCATATATCAAGTACAGCTAGGACCATGATAAAGAAACGATCCTCAAACTTCTTCTTTATCTTGAACTGGTAGATGATGATAATGAGGATGTTGCCAGATACTCCCAAAAGTATGTATAGGCCTAGAAAAACGTCCAGTCCTATAAAAGATTGAGCCAGGTCCCAATTCCATTGTTCCAACGTATATCCACTCCCTTTTCCTGAATCTGCCTGTCTTGAAACCGGGAGTGTATCATTGCTACTGTTATTTACTGCATTCGACAAAAGTCCGACAAAGCCATTTAAGACATTCAGCGCATTCGTGAAAATGGAATTATTACCCTCCATTTGAAAACAGGGGAGATTTCAGTGTTGATTGTGATATGCTTTTTGCTGGTAGTTAAGAAATGAACAGGAAATTAGCTCTCGTACTAGATATCCCCCAGTATACGCATTTCCGCAATTTGTGTATCAGATGTAAAGATAATGTGCATGTACATGTACAGCGTATGTATTTGTCAAATTCAAAGTGTGTATGATGATAATATATAAAGCATGATGATAATATAGTGCTATAAATATGTGAAGTTGACTTTTATGTTAGGGATTATTTTTTCACATCATCTTTGTACAAAAACAGTTGTCTTTGTTCTGACGGGTCTAGTGATTTTGGACGTCGACAGGAATATATCTTTAAAGCAATAATGTTGAATTGAAATGCATCGGCATCATGGTTAAATCGTTTTAACGAAATCAGGCTGTTTATTAAACAAATGAAGTACATTTGTAAGGGGTTGTAACAAAATCAACAAACAGACGGAGGGTTCCCGAGAACAAGTTACCCGACAGGATGTCATCACACCGGAAGCAGTCACATACAACCGATAATAAAGCTTGAACAATCTGGAATCCTTTCAGAGAAAAATTGAAAGTATTGAAGTTGACTAAGGAATTGTATGTTTGTTTTTGATAGTATTGATCAGTCCGCGCTCGCTCTTGGCATATACCTTTCTATATACAATGCTTGTCTGTGGTCTAAGTTTCGTATTTTTGTTAATAAGGTTGCTGATACATTTGATCGGATATGATGTATCTCATCAATAACGATACATTTATCAGATAAATCTCGAAGGGTGTTAGAGATATCCTACATATATTTACAATAGGGTTGTAAATACCTGGAACAGCCCTCCAATCCATATCGTGAATTCTCCAATAACCTATACCTTTAAGTCAAAGTTTAACAGACGTTATATTGTAGCAAGGTGTTGACCACAAGTTTACACCAAAGTGTTACACTTTTTGATCAATAAACTCTTAGTACAGCAATCTGTGCAACTGGATGTGACCAAGTGCAAATAAGAAGATACGTGATCAGAAGCAATAAGACGCTTGAACTGAAGTGAAAAATGATAATCGTAGATGTGGTACAGTGCAGATTTTTTTCCCTTTTTATCAGATATACAATATTCATGACGCCTATAAATGGATGACGCAAGGAGAGCCGTTTCTGAAACCATGTTAGTATTTTGTGAAGATATGATACACTAATTCCATATCATAATCCCTGACATTTTTAAACTAGAATCTTTGAAGTGACTGAATTCAGGCTAATTGGTTTGTATAGCGATGCTCGATTTTATTTATTTAGTGTACTGCAATGATATTTTTCGTCTTCCAATCATTAGTCACAATTCCTTCACCAATGGATAGTCGATAATGATGTTGCCAAGATTTCAGATGCTACGTGTAGATCTTTTGGGTAGATTTAGTTTGTCTCTTGTAATTTATTTGGCTTCATCGTATACATTTCTACTTTGGAAGAATAAACATTAATGTGACGTGCCTGTGAGCGTGTCGAAATACTGATACGCATCCTCGATATTCCAGAGGTTACGATCAATTTCGCTCTCTGCACCCCTGGAACATTTCATGGCAAAAATTAAATGTTTTATATGCGACAACTTGTGGATGTGACGAGGAGACTAATTTAAAAATTTGATGTACATCAAACAAATCTCCAGGCCACATAAAAGCATGTTGTAATGCTGTGATGGCTTCAAAATAAAGTATCATTCTAGATAGTCTGTTTTTTTCCGTTTTTTATTTTTGTTTGTTTTGTTTTTAGCATCGAGGATGACGGGGACGTTTCGTAGAAATTTCATTAACCCTTCAGCTTTTGCCATGGCACTCAAGTAGATATACGACCATAATAGTTTTTCAAGTTCCCAATGGTTTTTTCTGGCTTAACTCTTTGATTAGACGCATTTCCAAAATGACTTGTCGGCCGAATTCTCAGATAACTGCCTCTCAAAATCCCCCTTCGCCTGATTGTAACGCCATGTCAGGTTAGTATGAATCCGAGTCTCCATTTTGTTACCCTTAACTGTGTCATATTGTGTTTGTGTATGATGTAAATTTTGGCCGAAAACTTACTTGTGTGTACAGTATTGGCAGCGAAAATTCCACTCGGACTTCCGGGGACGCAACCGCGTTCACTACATGTGAAAACTTCAAAAAAATGAAATTCAATTGTAGGGGATGGGCACAGAGAAGGAGACCTCAGACCTCCTGATGTGTCAGTATGCACCAGTTAAAGGGATAATCAGTAGAAGTCCTTCCTGTGACAATCTCCCTCAGTATCCTATAAATCCTACCTAATATAAGGAGTATTGCGTAATGTTCTAATAATCAAGCGAGGAACCCTACTGCATCCCTTAGAGCGCCTCGGACATGGGCCCGAGTTTCCAATTCCTGAAACCATCGCCCGTCCAATATAGTGTTTGTCTATATCACGTTGTAATTTTGATGGTAGAAAACTATTTTCAAAAAATATTTAAGTATCATGCTGTTGACAACGCCCTGCTTATCCCGTGGATTTTAAATATGACTTGTAGAAATGATAGTGATTTTTATTTCTTTCTAATTCCTAATAGAGTTTTTCCCCACTGTTAAAATGTTTGTAACAGTAAACCACTATTAATTGTGTGAGTCACATTATCACAAAACTCAGTTATATATGTTTAAACATAACATAGATGTTCGATTTCAATTTTGTTTGGTCTATTCTTTATCTTGCGATAATTTTGTCATTAGATTAACTGTGACCATATAACTTTGTCTTCCTAATTAATTTTTCCTACATTAGTCAAAAATTGACTCAGATTGATTGAATTACTCTGATCTGTCCAAACTTGTCTTCCATTTTTGACATTTTGTTTTGTTGATCAATATATAGAGTTACGTTTAGTAAGTTTGGCATTGATGATGCATTAAGTTTAAACGTATCTTTCACGCAGAAAAGAAAGCTGACATGTACCGGTACAAGTACATTATTACTTCAAACTTTAAAAGTCACATTTTTTCCCTCATGATTAGTCCATTAATATAAAATCGTTGAAAATACATTGATATAAATATTGGATCTTGATTACGTTCAGTCGCGGTCTTATTTAACTTTTTGAGGATGCACGCCGCCTTGAACTTCTTTAAAACGGCTATAATTAGATACATTCGGAATACCTCGGGCAAAATAAATGGCGGCTATAGCAGACTACCAATGGCATGATCCGCTGATGGCGTTTAAATGTCCAACATTAGATGAAGGAGCTTCAGGAAACCTACAGATACCAAATGCAGGTTTGATGATAGATATGAGAGACCTAGTTTGTAAGGAACACGATGGATTTTCTTTGTTTATGAAAAATCAGTGACAGTTCGGCCCTTCTGACTTTTCTTAGATAATAGGCAGATAGAAATCGTTCCAGTTTCACGTGGTCATCCATGTTAGTATCTAGTGTATTTGTGATCTAATGGTCGTCACTGAGCGATAAGTCTAACTAATCGCTTATTGTCGACTTCACAGTCAAGTTAAGTTTTCAATTCGTCAAAGATGATTAATCGCTGGTTCTTTAGCAGATTCGCACACACTTACGTCATTCAGTTCAATATCGCCTGATAATAATATTCATAATAGATTGAAAGACTAACTGTGTAAGGAAACAACACAAAAGGGTTATTTAAGTTATCGGTTGTACTTGTCGACTCTCTCGTGGAATAGGAGTCAAAGTTAGTCGAAATGCATTTTAATAGCAGACGACATTTCGGGGTACCATTCTCTAACGTATGGTTGAATTGAGTGCATTTCGTCTGTTCTCCCACACTTGTCAGTGCGTTATATAATTAAAACGAGTCAAAGAGTTTTTATTTTTATCTGGTGAGGTAACCTCCAGCCAATTACAACTGTGATACATTCATTTGTATGTTGGACATATTACGTATGTGTAGTATCAAATATACAATGTATATTTACGTATGTATGTAATCAGTGTTACTACACTGTGTCTGATATCAAGGATATTTAAAAGATGTGGTCAGCCTGTATTGTTAGAATGCCAAATGCATCATGCATATATTTAGTATGAAAGTCTGTAAACTAGTAAATTAAAGTTTATTTAATATTCTTTGGTCATCACAAATTTGGAAAATTCAGTTATTACAGTGTTATTTGTCATCATGATGATTAGAGTACCACAAACTCTGTCCTACCAGACAAAAAAAGAAAGAAAAAAACCCTTGAGGTAATGTATTCAGTAATTCACCAGTCTCTTGTGTCTATCCCAAATTTGTTGAAAGTTTCGAAGAAGCATGTGTACTGTTTAAGTTATGGTCAACCTCTGTTATAACCTATCTGCCAATTTTTCTCAGATGCGTAATATAATTTGAAACACAAAATCAAATCAAATTATGTTTTCTTGCCTTATGAAAGACATTTCCTTTTTCAGGTTCTGTACCGGGCCTCAGACTGCTAGCTAGCTGCCTGCTTATACCTAATTACAGTTAACACTGATAGTATCATGCTGAGGTCACCAGACATTACAGAAAATGGTACATGCACAAATCAACCAATTTCAAGATATCTCTATTTGATGATACATAATTGTATTGACTAAGATGGATATGATGATGACATTTATAATGACATCTTTGATTCACGCATCATCCAATACACAGAGGAATACACAAGGAGTAACTGTCACATTAGATGATGAATCCCTATAAGCTAACTCAGTAACAAGTACAAAAAGACACAACCTTTGCATGTATTCATACGAAATTATGTCTTATGTTTTTTTTATTTACACTGACTGATTATTAATATACATAAGCCCTATTTACAACAAATTATGTACATTTCTTATTATGATACATGTGTAGGTCTACAAGAAACCTTTCTAATTAAAATTTATTGAATGTGAAACAACATTTAGATTAATTGGAAATTACAAGGCTTTTTTGAGGTGTTTTCGGGGGCTGATAATGGGCCCTACTCTCAATTGAAATTACATGTACTTAAATCAAATTCCCAAAATTTGAACTTTATTCCTGAAAATTTCTTTTAAGATTTTAACATACTTAACCAATTTACGTATGCACAGTCTGCACATAGTTCACAAGAGGATGATGAATAGATACTTGTAGATTTTCTATGATTTGAATAATTGTCGACAATCGCACATAACCAATATGCTCCAACTTAGCACTATACATATATGTATGTCATGTTTGTCTGAAAAGTATCATGTATGTCATTTAAACTGGATAAAAAATACTAAGTCAATTAAATGTTGATATTAGTACATGTACAATGTATTTACATTCCATATAGTTTGCTGTCATCTATTGATTTTAATTTGATTTTTAAAACGTTTGATTCTTTAGATGAAGCTATTTGGCTATAATTTTTTGGCGTTTTCATTGTATCTTGAAAAAATTGTGATATGTTATAGAGTGAAAACTATAACCAAGAGAAACAGGCTACATCCTTCTACATCCCTGTTGAACAAGACCAGGGTAATGGTTCAGAAGTTAATGGTCCGAAAGTTTTGGGTGGATCGCCGATAAGGTCGACATCTGGTACATACATTCAGCAAAGCAGTAATGAGGTGACTGACAATTTATAATCTCACATGTCTGCAATATTTGTTGTAAAATAGAGAGTGGAATTAGTCTTGATTGCCTTCTCTGAACTATAAAGTGATTGATAGCTGGAAAGACCTTCTAGGCAAATTTTAATTTATTTGCAAAGACTGAATACTTGTATTAACCATTCACAAAGTTTAACATATATGCATGTATTATGGTTCGTACATTCATTTATGAAACATAATATCAATATTAAATTTGATTTCATAAAAAAATATTTTTAAAATTGTTGTTAAATATTAATTTATTGAGGTGTATATAGCACTAGTGTCTCTCAATTTACTTCTCATCTTGAATCATATTTAATGAATCCTTATTACTCTTGTGACTTAAACTTTAACAAGACTTGATTTTTTTTTATAAAATTTTATAGGAAGGTCCAGTACAAGAATATATTTTGCAGTATAAGGTTTTAAGGTTAATCTATATATAATATGGTCACCAATGTTATTTGTAAGAATTTTGTCCACTGGATAAGTTAAGCCTAAAGTTTGACAACCGGAGTAACAATAGACCAGCAGAAAAAACATTAGATAAGAACCACATAGAAGAAGCACATTGGAGTACAAATAATTAATGGATTTCACACGCTAAACTTATCATTAATATATTGTATATTAATTTTAAATCCTTGTAATAGTGCTTGGTAGCTGATGTAGATTTAGACCCCTCGGAGAGTGGATTTTACTTGGAGGAAGATGTGGACCTCAACCAGCAGACTGTTACTTCCTTTGGAGGACTTTCCATTGATACCCAGGACAGTGCACGCTACTATGATGCACCGTTTGACTGTGGTAACATTCAATTTTCAAATATTCATAGCCAGAAACCTGATATAGAGGTATGTATAATCAGTAAATCGTTCATTATTTTTCTGTCTCTATTTTCATGTTCTTAGCTGTTTCAAAACAGTAAAGGCCCTTCATTTTTCTCCCCGGCTTTATTCCATTTTGATTTCACACTTTGGCCTGTGTGTATTCATTTAAAGAAACATGTCTATGTTTCAGTTCTAATATTGCTATTCATACATTGGTCTTGCTGTTTATTACCAAGTAAATTATTTTCAAATGTTATACTTTTTGATTGTTTAGAAATGTAAGTTAGAATTGATTTACCACATCATAGACTTTTCCTGTTATTTGAAGTTAATAAGTTTTTAAAAAAGCCTTATTTTAAAAAATTAACAGTATTGAAGAATTACTTTGCCAAATTCCTGATGATTCAATACAACATTGTTGTATCGAAGACCATTTAAGTGGTTAATTAAGTTGAGACAGTGTCATTGATGTTTGTGTATGACAATTAAAATCCATTCCATATATTCTGTCATTTACTTGTAGCCAAAGCGCCACTATGTATGTATCCCCAGTGACACATCAAGCTGGGATGTTACACACTTCCTTGGCACCTACTGGAAGATGAGAAGTCCAAAGATTGTACTATCTGTAATATCAGGAGTGAGACATTTCAAACCATGGAAAAACCTCCGATTGAAGGAACAGTTTCAGAAAGCCGTTATCAAAGTAATGCAAATTTCCAGAAGACAGTTTTAGGACTCACAGTACCTGATAATTTGTATTCTGTATCTTAGTATTTCTAAAAGTTTCCTTCCTGAATGGCTATTCACTAATGCTTCTCAGTTTTCAGATTGACATTTTACATCCATTTAGAGTTACATCAAAGACTTAAAAGTTCATCTTTCATCTCTTCAATTTAATCTCATTGTATAAGTTAAAGATCTCTTATAATATCCTTTCTATTTCAAATGTTCACATGAAGAAGTATTCTGTTGCTAAATGTTCAGAAAATTGATAATTTTGCTTGTCATAATATCTGCTGCAGCTTGATTGATATATGGCAGTTTGACTGTTGTTATATTTATCAATGTAAAAAAGCTTTAGGTGTTGAAAGGCCATAATACTGAACAAATCTAACCACAAAAATTTTGTTATCTGTTCTTAAGCTTTAAAAAAATTGGTACAATGTGTAGAAGAAAGTAAAATATTATATAGATAATAAGTATCAGCTGTATTTTGGCGATCTCACATACAAATCACAAGCACTGAAGACTTTAGAATACGATGTAACATGAATTTTTTAAATTGGTAAGGTTTTACTGTAAATCTGCTTAATCAACGACAGTCAGCAAATTAAAGTCATTGTGATCAGATATTGTTGTATGATACCAGAAAATGTATTTAGCAATCATGTGATGAAGATAATTCTTGATAAAACTTTCAGGCAGCCAACACCACTGAAATGTGGATTGTGACAAGTGGGTTGGATGGAGGTGTGTCCAAGATGATTGGAGATGCTTTTAGAGAAGAGAAAGCTCGGCGAATTAGCAACCGTACACAGCAGAGTATGATCCGTCCAGATGCTGTACAGAAATTTCAAAAACTTACATTGATTGGGATCTTACCTAAAGATGGACTGAAATATGGTGACAAGCTGGATGGATCTGTAAGTCAGCTTAAAACATTTAAAATAGAAAAGGAACATAAGTATGCAGTAGGTTAACAAAGAAAAAAGGTTTTCTTTCAGACCATACAAAGATATCATAAGGGTTTACTTGTAGGAGTACTGTTGAAAGTTATGTAAATACATATATGCTTGGCTGTAGTATAAACACACATCTATTTGTTCAACAGCAAATGTCAGGTTTTGAAAGGATATACATATTTGACAGGAAGGTGTTGGACTGAGGAATGAAGGGCACCAACCTGACAGTGACAAGTATGAACTTAACCCCGACCACACCCACTTTATGATAGTAGAGGAGGAGGATCTGGACCGCATGTTCTTCACCAACATCAGATGTACACTAGAGAAGGAGTTTGAGTGTCAGTTAGGGCGGCCACGTCGACTAAGGAGGGTTTTCAGCTGGGGTAAGATTGTCTAGTCTGCATCAATGATGGCTCTAGATCTCAGCTGGGCAAAGATTGTCCAGCCTGCTACAATGATGTTTTCAACTGGACTAGGATTGTCCAGTCTACATCAAGCCTTAGGACTGGGCAATATTATTATCAATAATGTTGGGGTCATTTTTACCAGTGATTATCACTTTTTAAGTGCACAGGACTAAATTGTATATTTAAGCTTTGAATGAATGTGTAATGTGATTTATGACCACATTAGATAATGACAGAACAGCAGATCACAGAAGTTTTAACACTGAACAGTTAAATTGTATCTGCAGAAAAAGATGAGAATGAAAAGTCTACTTTGTGATTATGAAACAAAAAAATCCATCATCTGTTGAAAAGAAATGTTCAAAGATGTAAACAACTTCCCAATTTGTATTTGTAATATATATCATATTGTCTTTTTTAAACTAGGTTCTGATGAGAGCAATATTCACAGTTTCAATAACATGCACCCACCAAATGATAAGACAATTCCTGTGATTGGATTGTTGGTACAAGGTTCACCTAAGAATGTAGAACACATTTTGTTCTACCTCAGCAACAAGATGCCAGTAGTTGTCCTCAAGGGCAGTGGGGGATTCGCAGACCTCTTAGCTTTTGCCTATCAGGAAACTCAAGAAAGGTTGTCATTAACATAATTTTGACATATATATTGGATTATTTTTAGTTATCAGAATTAGATTTACTTGTATATGTTCAGTTTTAGGTGAATAATAATCATAATTAATGATAATAATTGATAGTAAAAATCAGATTTGTACTGTAAAATTCAAATAAAATAGATAATGAGATTAAATCCAGAAAATTTAATGAAATTGCATTATACATTTTAATGTTTTCCTGTAGGACCGATCCAGACTTCCTGGAAACGTTTCTGAAACCAGAATTAATCAAAATGATCTGTAAAAGCTACCCTAGTGACTTCAAGGACAATGACCTGGCCAGGAATGAATTCAGGGACAAGATATTGAAATGTGTAGACTTAGCACAAGAGGTATATATAACTAAAATAAATGTGTAATTTATACATGATTGCAAGACATTTTCTTTAGTAAATGTATTTGTCTTTATGTTTTTGTTCAAATGTATAATTTACATAGCGAATTTAGAAACCGTTTCATAGTGAAACGTAAAGATTTTGGTTTGATTTGACAAACTTTGTTGTCTCCCTTTTTAACATTTTTCACAATAGATTTTTCTCCTGATATTAATGATTACATCATGATTTCAAATAAAGGTTAATACATGCTATGTTGATTTATTCACCACATCTGAACCACTTAACATCTGTTTTACTAGTGACAGAAAACTTAGTCAACAATATAAGATTTTTGAGAAACAAAGCATATGCTTTGTTGATTTATTCACCACATCTGAACCACTTAACATCTGTTTTACTAGTGACAGAAAACTTAGCCAACAATTTAAGAGTTTTGAGAAACAAAGTATATACTCTAGTAAGAATCATATACCTGAGATTGATATAGTATTGACATACACTCACAAATGAAAGAAATAGGAAAAGTCAGATATTCACAGTTGAAGTAGTTTTATTTTGTGTTGTGATTTTATTTCACTAGTACCCTATCATGATTGTTCTGTTACCTACAGGAAGACCAGACATTTATGACTGTGGTGAATATGCAAGGTTGGGATGCAAGTTTAAAAGACTTGGACAAGTATTTACTTAAAGCCCTATTCAAATGTAAGTTATCAAACACCTGTAAAACAGCAGTGAACATGTTCTATGTTCAAAGTGTGATTAAAAAAAACTCTCAAGAGAAGTTGGCAGTAAAAGAAATCCTTGCACGAAAGAATATCTTTTCAGAATTTTCTATTCTTGGAGTTGAGTGTAAATGTAATGTGAACTTTTCGAATATTATCTCTCAGTTGAATATTGTAGTATCCTGAATTGATATATTAATGCATTGTATTATGATATTGTTGTTTTGTCATTGTCTTAAATCCTATTGCCTGTTTCATATGTTGGTTGTTTTGAGATGACCTGTTTTTTATGACAGCTGAGAAGCAGGTTGCTAGCAAGTGGAAGGAACAACTGTACAAGAATCTCCAGTTAATTCTCGACTGGAACCGTCCTGACTTAGTACAGTCACAGATATTCCAGCGTGATGACTTTGCAAAAATTAAGGTGAGTCTGTTTTGTTATTCTATGGGATTATGATACCCCACATCAATCTCCTCTCAAGATAAAAAAAATTATAGAATTGTCAGTGGAAAGGTGAATTAATTTTGGATGAAGGACAATTGAATTCAAATAATCTTCCTACAATTTGAACATTGTATAACATTATCAGACGTTTGATGGCTGATGATGAAACTACTTCAATATTTCATTTTCAGTTAAATAAGGAGCTGTTGGAAAAGGCCTTGCTAAAAACAGATAGAGAAGAATTTGTAGACCTGTTTCTTGATCATGGAGTTCAGATTCACAAGTTTTTAAACCACAAAAAGTTCAAGCTGCTCTTTGAAAGACCAGAAGATCGAGAATTTTTCACAACAGTGTGCTTAGAAGGAGCTCTGAACTTCAGTAGTGTGGTAAGACAAGATGTCATTATATGAACAACTTAGCATTATATAAAAACTGTGTTTGAATCAATTTATTGATAATGATAATAGCTTCTCTACTGTATACTTATCAAATTTAAGTTTCAATGCACTGAACACCAATTTCATTTAACTTTCTGATACAGGTTAGGTACCATGTACTTTTAAGTGTTATCACAAATTAAGCGTGAATATGACTTTTTCTCAGGAAGCAGATCAGCCTTTGCAGAAAGAATTTTTATCAAATGATCTGAATCGTTTGATATACAAGCTGAGTCGTATCAAAGATTTTGTCCAACCATATGAGCTTTCCATGAATTCTGCTGGACTGTATGTTTCAAACCCTGCTGTCGCAGAGAGGAAGGTAAATTGTTATGATATAGATGTTGATATACTGACCTGTAAACTATTGTATACACCCTGCCAAACACTTTAAAAAGCTATTCCACTGAAAATTGTGTAGGACAGTCTTTATCAATCATTAGACCAGCATAGCATGTCCTTGTAGCTAGAACAATATTTGTCCCTTGGCTAATCAATGCACTCACAGTTCATAAACATAAGATGAGTGTTCTTGATAAGTTATTTTTGGGGAAATGTTTGCATGAAAGTTAAAGATTGTGTAATTCTCGTCGAAAAGTTATTTGAAGATTTTTCTTCATTTCTCTGTAGTTGTCTTGATCTCTCTCCTTGCTGATATATTCATAGTGGTTCTTGTATTAAGTACATTAAATCACGTACCACAATCAATCTGGCCTGTTATTTCACTGATTTTTAAAACAATTGCAAATTGTTAGTTTTATGATTAAATTGTTTTTCTGCTCTTTCAAACAGTTCACTATGAGTGAAATATATGCAGGAAAGTGTCTATCATTACTTTTTTTATTTTGTGAAGGCTCTGAACTGTCTCATCATCTGGGCAGTACTGATGAATCGCCAAAAGCTGGCTAAGGTTCTGTGGCAGAGATGTGAAGAACCCATTGCTATGGCTCTGATTTGTAGCAACATGTACAAGGAACTGGCAAAAAACTGTATAGAGCTGTACCTACGCAATGAGATGGAACACAATGCAAAGTATGTTTTCTCTTTATTTACTGGAACAATTCACCAAGTCTGTTCATAGTTCCTTCTGGAATAGATATATCTGTACATGTATGTATATTTTTAAAATCTTTTACCAATTTCAAGAATTAGCAGTCAAGTTAGGCACTGTGATGATATTATCAGTTTGTTGTACTTCCCCAAGAGAAGGTATATAGTAATTTATTACATTTTTAGAAAAATATCGAAAAATATCTCATTGATAAAAGTATTATTTTTCATTAGTAAAAAATAACACTTTTGCAGACTTACACCAGTAAATTGGGAACACAAATCATCTGATCAAATTGACAAATCATAAAGCTAGGTACAAAAAACATAAAATCAGACATCTGAAGGGGTTGCAACTCAAAGTACTGTACCAGAGATCAAATCCAATCCCCAACAGAATGTTTTGAATGTAGAGCAAACACATTAGACATTTCAAGGGGATTTGTGTCATCAACATTAACAACTAGGTTGCTTTTCTGCCACGAAGTAACTTGTCACAGGTTACATATCTTAAAAAAAATAGACTATATTTTGTTGCTTACTGCAAAGTTAAAATGAGTGAGTAGATTTATTCTGTGTTACAGTGACTTTGGTAAGATTGCCCTTGGTGTGTTGGACATCAGTTTCTGTGACTCTAGTGCTCTGATCTGAACTAGATTTATTCTGTGTTACAGTGACTTTGGTAAGATTGCCCTTGGTGTGTTGGACATCAGTTTCCGTGACTCTAGTGCTCTGATCTGAACTAGATTTATTCTGTGTTACAATGACTTTGGTAAGATTGCCCTTGGTGTGTTGGACATCAGTTTCTGTGACTCTAGTGCTCTGATCTGAACTAGATTTATTCTGTGTTACAGTAACTTTGGTAAGATTGCCCTCCGTGTGTTGGACATCAGTTTCCGTGACTCTAGTGCTCTGATCTGAACTAGATTTATTCTGTGTTACAGTGACTTTGGTAAGATGCCTTCGTGTGTTGGACATCAGTTTCTGTGACTCTAGTGCTCTGATGAACTAGAATTCTGTGTTAGATTTATTCTGTGTTGGACACAGTGACTTTGGTAAGATTCTGTGTTGACCTTGGTGTGTTGGACATCAGTTTCCGTGACTCTAAGTGCTCGTGTGTTGGACATCAGTTTCCTCTAGTGTGACTGAACTATTCTGTGCTCTGATCTGAACTAGATTTATTCTGTGTTACAACTTTGGTAAGATGCCTTCGTGTGTTGGACATCAGTTTCTGTGACTCTAGTGCTCTGATCTGAACTAGATTTATTCTGTGTTAAGTGACTTTGGTAGATTGCCCTCGTGTGATTGAACAGATTTATTCTGTGTTACAGTGACTTTGGTAAGATTGCCTTGGTGTGTTGGACATCAGTTTCTGTGACTCTAGTGCTCTGTGTGTTACAGTGACATCTTGGTGTTTGGACATCAGTTTCTGTGACTCTAGTGCTCTGAACTAGATCGTGTGTTGACATCAGTTTCTGTGACTAGATTTATTCTGTGTTACAGTAACTTTGGTAAGATGCCTTCGTGTGTTGGACATCAGTTTCTGTGACTCTAGTGCTCTGATCTGAACTAGATTTATTCTGTGTTACAGTGACTTTGGTAAGATTGCCTTGGTGTGTTGGACATCAGTTTCTGTGACTCTAGTGCTCTGATCTGAACTAGATTTATTCTGTGTTACAGTGACTTTGGTAAGATGCCTTCGTGTGTTGGACATCAGTTTCTGTGACTCTAGTGCTCTGATCTGAACTAGATTTATTCTGTGTTACAGTGACTTTGGTAAGATGCCTTCGTGTGTTGGACATCAGTTTCTGTGACTCTAGTGCTCTGATCTGAACTAGATTTATTCTGTGTTACAGTGACTTTGGTAAGATTGCCCTTGGTGTGTTGGACATCAGTTTCTGTGACTCTAGTGCTCTGATCTGAACTAGATGTATTCTGTGTTACAGTGACTTTGGTAAGATTGCTCTAACACAACAGTTTCTGTGACTCTAGTGCTCTGATCTGAACTAGATTTATTCTGTGTTACAGTGACTTTGGTAAGATTGCCCTCCGTGTGTTGGACATCAGTTTCTGTGACTCTAGTGCTCTGATCTGAACTAGATTTATTCTGTGTTAAGTGACTTTGGTAAGATTGCCCTCCGTGTGTTGGACATCAGTTTCTGTGACTCTAGTGCTCTGATCTGAACTAGATTTATTCTGTGTTAAGTGACTTTGGTAAGATTGCCCTTGGTGTGTTGGACATCAGTTTATGTGACTCTAGTGCTCTGATCTGAACTAGATTTATTCTGTGTTACAGTGACTTTGGTAAGATTGCCCTTGGTGTGTTGGACATCAGTTTCTGTGACTCTAGTGCTCTGATCTGAACTAGATGTATTCTGTGTTACAGTGACTTTGGTAAGATGCCTTCGTGTGTTGGACATCAGTTTCTGTGACTCTAGTGCTGTGATCTGAACTAGATTTATTCTGTGTTACAATGACTTTGGTAAGATGCCTTCGTGTGTTGGACATCAGTTTCTGTGACTCTAGTGCTCTGATCTGAACTAGATTTATTCTGTGTTACAATGACTTTGGTAAGATGCCTTCGTGTGTTGGACATCAGTTTCCGTGACTCTAGTGCTCTGATCTGAACTAGATTTATTCTGTGTTACAGTGACTTTGGTAAGATTGCCCTTGGTGTGTTGGACATCAGTTTCCATGACTCTAGTGCTCTGATCTGAACTAGATTTATTCTGTGTTACAGTGACTTTGGTAAGATGCCTTGGTGTGTTGGACATCAGTTTCTGTGACTCTAGTGCTCTGATCTGAACTAGATTTATTCTGTGTTAAGTGACTTTGGTAAGATTGCCTTGGTGTGTTGGACATCAGTTTATGTGACTCTAGTGCTCTGATCTGAACTAGATTTATTCTGTGTTAAGTGACTTTGGTAAGATTGCCCTTGGTGTGTTGGACATCAGTTTCCGTGACTCTAGTGCTCTGATCTGAACTAGATTTATTCTGTGTTAAGTGACTTTGGTAAGATTGCCCTTGGTGTGTTGGACATCAGTTTCCGTGACTCTAGTGCTCTGATCTGAACTAGATTTATTCTGTGTTACAGTGACTTTGGTAAGATGCCTTGGTGTGTTGGACATCTGTTTCTGTGACTCTAGTGCTGTGATCTGAACTAGATGTATTCTGTGTTACAGTGACTTTGGTAAGATTGCCCTTGGTGTGTTGGACATCAGTTTCCGTGACTCTAGTGCTCAGGCCTATAACATCCTTTGTAAGCCTTTACCTGATTTCAACAACAAGACCACACTGGAAATAGCGTATGATGCAAACTACATGAACTTTATAGCACACCCCTGCTGTCAGAAGTGGCTGACTAAAAAACTGTTTGGTGCTATACACGTCAAAGAAGTCCATTGGGGCATTTTCAGGCTTCCCTACTGGTTCAAGGTAACAAATCAAATTCCTATTTCTGAGTTACAAACATCTGAAATCATTTAAGCTTTTCATTTGATCAAAATGATCAGTTTTTGTCACATTTAAGGAAATTATTTACGATATATGATGTATTTGTTAGAAAATGAAGCACTGTCATTAGATATTACTTTAAACTTTCTTCCATACAATATTTTGTCAAACAAAGGTGCTTGATCTAATAAGACTTCCCCAAGGAATTTTATGTTTAACTTCAATGTGAATATCAGTGTGCCTTTTATCATAGGTGTGGAATCCTTTGGTAATGACCCTTTTTGTTTCCAATGATAACCTTAGAATTCCAAAGTCAGTACAATAATCCTTCAATTTCACAAGTCATTGTATTCCTATGTAAAATTAAAAAGGCCACTATTTCTAAAACTTATTTATGACAGTGATATTTTGTAATATTACTTGCTGAAATTCATAGAGATGCTTTTTAAGAAGTTATACAACTACTTTAATCAAAATGAAACAAATGTTATATGACAATGAATGAAACAAGCGTGACTTTCAGGTTGATATAAAGTTCTAAGTTTATTTTTCTAGATCTTGGCCAGTGCTTTCTTGATATTTCCGATGTTCCTTTGGATAAACTTTTCTTCTGGATCTCTCAGGAGAGTTAAAGGAATTACAGTAAACGGTAATTATAAGACTTAAGTGTGTCATTATTTCTATTGGCTAGATATTTGACATGTATGATACAGCATACCTGAAATGTAAAACAATGATACAGATCAGTTCAAATGTAATTATTGAAAAGTTGATAGTTATAACCTATTAATTCTTCAGTATTCAGCAGCCATTTTATTTTAGAATTATTGTCACAATGTAATTTTTCTTTCCTTTTTTCCATAATTGGTTGAAGATAATACCATAAGTCTAGTGATTTGAGGTGTACTGTGTCAAAGTTCCAGTTGCATGACCAAGTTTTACAGTAAGATACAGGATTGTATAGTTGATATAATTCTTTGGAAATAACTATATGCAGAAGCACATTGATGATATAAACTAACACAATTCTTTAAATTGAAGGTTAAAGCAATCCTAGATTTTATGATGATACACTAACCTAAGGTTAAATCAAGTTTCCTTAAAGCAAGGTATCTGCCTTACAATTAGAAACATTCAAAATAAAATGGGATTATTGACCAATGTTTTGTGATACCACATCAATTTTATCATGTTCAGGTTGTGACATCACATCGTTTTATCGTGTTCAGGTTGTGACATCACATCGTTTTATCGTGTTCAGGTTGTGACATCACATCAATTTTATCATGTTCAGGTTGTGACACCACATCATTTTATCATGTTCAGGTTGTGACATTACATCAATTTTATCGTGTTTAGGTTGTGACATCACATAAATTTGATCATGTTCAGGTTGTGACATCACATCAATTTTATTGTGTTCAGGTTGTGACATTACATCAATTTTATTGTGTTCAGGTTGTGACATCACATCAATTTTATTATGTTTGGGTTGTGACATCACATCATTTTATCGTGTTCAAGTTGTGACATCACATCAATTTGATCATGTTCAGGTTGTGACATCACATCAATTTTATTGTGTTCAGGTTGTGACATCACATCATTTTATCGTGTTCAGGTTGTGACATCACATCAATTTGATCATGTTCAGGTTGTGACATCACATCAATTTTATTATGTTTGGGTTGTGACATCACATCATTTTATCATGTTCAGGTTGTGACATCACATCATTTTATCGTGTTCAGGTTGTGACATCACATCGTTTTATCGTGTTCAGGTTGTGACATCACATCGTTTTATCGTGTTCAGGTTGTGACATCACATCAATTTTATCATGTTCAGGTTGTGACATCACATCAATTTTATCATGTTCAGGTTGTGACATCACATCAATTTTATCATGCTGAGGTTGTGACATCACATAAATTTTATCATGTTCAGGTTGTGACATCACATCAATTTTATTGTGTTCAGGTTGTGACATCACATCATTTTATCGTGTTCAGGTTGTGACATCACATCAATTTTATCATGTTCAGGTTGTGACATCACATCATTTTATTATGTTTGGGTTGTGACATCACATCAATTTTATTATGTTTGGGTTGTGACATCACATCATTTTATCGTGTTCAGGTTGTGACATCACATCAATTTGATTGTGTTCAGGTTGTGACATCACATCAATTTGATCATGTTCAGGTTGTGACCATCACATCAATTTTATCATCACATCAATTTTATCATGCTGAGGTTGTGACATCACATCAATTTTATCATGTTCAGGTTGTGACATCACATCAATTTTATCATGTTCAGGTTGTGACATCACATCAATTTGATCATGTTCAGGTTGTGACATCACATCAATTTTATTATGTTTGGGTTGTGACATCACATCATTTTATCGTGTTCAGGTTGTGACATCACATCAATTTGATCATGTTCAGGTTGTGACATCACATCAATTTTATTATGTTTGGGTTGTGACATCACATCATTTTATCATGTTCAGGTTGTGACATCACATCAATTTGATCATGTTCAGGTTGTGACATCACATCATTTTATCGTGTTCAAGTTGTGACATCACATCAATTTTATCATGTTTAGGTTGTGACATCACATCATTTTATCAGGTTTGTGTTGTTGATGTTACTGTTTAGATATCGGATTCATTAGAAATATGCTGATGTAGTGACACACTTTTGCCTGATATGAAAGAGAATTATGATTTTATGCAAATTTTCAAGGTCAAGTTTCTAATGTATATATTGCGTATCATTATAGATTCCATTTTGATGGAGGACGAGGAAGAAGATGCAGAGACTGACAGCAATGATGATGATGAAGATGCAGTTTTACCATCATCAAAGTCTATGTTGGAGAATGAACTCAGCAGTGTACTTATAAATTTGTTTGATAAACATATCTTGATATATAACTGTACACTACAGTAATAGTCCATCATAAAAGTGGAATAATCAAACACATAGAAAAGAAATTTTTGTGCTCTTGTAAATGTGACAAATTTAGGCATCAATCTTCGAGTGGGTTTCATTTTCTCCACAAAAGTTACAATATAATGATTTCTTTGTCAAAGAACTCTGAACAGTGAATTCTTTCTGAAAGTGCTGGTTTTCAGGTCTGAAGATTTTACTGTATAATTAAATTTGTTACAGATGAGTAAGACAAAGGGCCTTAAGAATGTGAAAGTAAAGATAAGAAGTGCCATGAAATCTAACAAGAAGCGACACTTTGCCATTTGGAGGCGAATCCAGCTCCTGTGGTCAGCACCAATTACCAAATTCTGGCTGACTCAGGTAGGTCCGACAGATCCAGCTCCTTAGGTCAGCACAAATTACAGAACTCATACTGACCCAGGACAGAGATGTCTATTATACCAGCTGTGAAAAAATGTATACTAGCTCTAGTAGTGTTTAGTAATGTTTTTGTATGGACTGTTTAGTGTACATGAGGTTTGGGGTTGTTTGTGTACTAATCAGGATATGCCTGAGGTCAATAGAAAAGCAGTTAGTGCTCAGCAGTGATTGTGTTATTTGTCAGTTAAAAAGAACAGATCACAAGGCCAAGATTGTTTAGGTGGCATGACTTAATACTGCAGAGACATCTATCACAATCTTGATGCAACACATACTTGTAAATATCATGTAAACTAACATTTAACAGCTTTAGATATATAAAAAGGCTTTGTACTTTGTAATCATTTGTACAAAGTTAACAGATTTCTAATATCTCCTCTCCAGATTCTGTATTTTGTTATCATTCAGGGTTTTCCATAAGAGCCGGTCACAGGCCAATTTGACCACCTACTTTGATAATTTGGCCGCCTACACCAATCCAGTTCCGTAATGATGTTCCGTACACGACTACACGTACACGGCAGGCCAGCCTCCTACTTTCACTACACAGCCTACTACTAACAAAATTATGGAAAACCCTGATCATTATTAAGTTAACAGAATTTTAATTTCTCTTCTTGAAGCTTTGTATATTAATATAATTTGTACAAAGTTAACATATATCCAATATCCCCTCTTCAGGCCCTGTATTTCCTGTACCTGGGATTGTTCTGTCTGGCAGTGCTGTGGCCCACCTGTGGTAATTTGACACTAGATCTTTTAGTGTGGTTGTGGACAGCTGTCATTCTGACTGAGTTGGTCAGGAGAACTTATGTTAAACACCAGGTAACAGTTTTATATTTTCTACTATATATAGACAGTAAATGGTTTAATTGAATTCAGCCATACATGCCTTATGTCCTTACTATTCATTATAAAGTATTTATCTGGTTTCAATGAATTATAGCTGTTGTGTTTTGTTTTTGATAACCACTCTGTTCTCTGTATAAATTTCACATCCTATTAACATCTCAGTAACCACTGAATAGACTTTGATTTGAACAAACTCTGCGAAAAAATGTTTCAAGAAAAAGAATTCAAAGTTCTTAAAATGAGGGACCTGACTCTCTAGGCTTATGAAGTCCAAAAGTGGGTTTTTCCCCCGGGTACTCTGGTTTCCTCCCACAATAATACTCCTTGCGCGCATACATCCAGGCCAACAAGAGTGATTAGTATAAGTTGACATAACTTGTTTTGCAATTGTTGGAAAATAAATAAAGTATATATAGTCCAAAAGAACGGGACCTTCACATCACTAATATTTTTTAAACAATATATCTGCAGCTGTAGAAATTACATAACTAAATGAAGTTTACTGTAGATACATTAATATTAAGTACAAGGTAAGGAAGTAATGTTCTGTGAAAGTTCTGGGGATCCCCATATGGTCTTGGAGAAGCCTATTTCTACCATATTTATAGACAAGATGCTTTGTCTATGTGGCATGCCATTGTTTTAGACATTTAAAATTTTCTGATGGTGAAATGGAGGACTTCTCTCCTCTCCCCTGCCCCTCCTCCCCCTTCACCCCCAGCCTACGAAACTTGTATTAAAGATTCACTTGCTACATTTTTATGATTCACAGAAATACAAAACAGTTTCCCTGTTTGGCCAGTGTGCAGAGATTTGCTTCATTTTGATATTCCTCGTTCTTTACCTTTTCCTACGAATTATACCCCATTGGTTTGTGTATGCCAACATCAATGCAGCCAAGACGGTGTTAAGTGTGGGACTGATCTATTCCTTCTATCGTCTGTTGGGTACCTATCTCCTTATCAGTCCAACCTTGGGGCCAATGTTGGTACGGATGTCTCGAATGGTAAGTCATGTTATGGATTATAGTGTGAAGCTAAATTTAGCTGGAAAGATTTCAGATTAAAGTAGATCAGGTTGTCAGATTTTTAAGTTGCTTTTAAACATGTGGAAGATATTTGATAAAAAAATATTAAAAAGCATAGTTTTAAAATTGAATGAATGATATTGCAGTGATCAAGCTAATATTCAAGTTCTGTCTGCAGAGTATAAACTTAAATTTGGCAAATTATTAAAGGAAAACCTGAGACAAGCATGAGGTCAATGTGGCATAGAACTGAAAGTAAACCCTGTAACTCAGCTGACAAGTAGACCTCCTCTGATAGAGTCAGGGATTAGGTATCACGCTGACGCTCAACCAAATGAGCTAATGAGAAATTCTCTCTAACCGAGTGGTATATTGCGGCTAGTATTTTACCATGGTTACAGTAGTATAATCTTTTACCTGTCCAGGTGCTCTGCAGAGATATATTTTTTCTCGTTCTTTTACAACTGTGAGATCAGAATTTCTGTTATCCAAGTACATTTTACAGTTTTCTAGCATAGATAAAGTAAAGTAGAGTTTTCTGACAACTGAGACAAACAGTGTGAAAAATGTTACTTTTACATAAATTAGAATTTCCCTTACACAACCTTCAAGGTTCAGTTGATCATTTGCTTTTAAAATCAGGAGTGATAAATATTTTATCGAAATTGTTATTTATTTCAGTTATTTTGAATATCATTATTTTCATTCCATACTATATTTTGCATATTATGTGCTGTTTTGTTGTTTGTTTTCACAGGTGAAGCATGACTTTGTGGCTTTTATACGTATGTTCTTGATCTTTCTAATCTCTGGGGGCGTGACTATACAGGCTGTTCTCTACCCAAACTACCCAATGGGCATCAACCTGATCAAGAGAGTTCTCACACGCCCACTGTTTGCCATGTTTCTTACCAAGATTGATGATTTGGATGGTAAATAACTAAGAGCCAATCATTTCTTTTAATTTGAAAAGAATTCTCATGTTAACAAACAAATTAATGGATGGGATTTTAGCAAAGATCTTTTTATCAGGAGCTGTGTGTAGAATGACCATTGCAGCAACACAATAAAGTTTCAGAGATTTGTACGCAGAAGAAGCTTGTCCATATCATATATCACTAATCCAACTGCTTCTGAATTCACAACCTTTTATAAACAATTCATTTTACTGCAGTTTTCTCAAACTTGATTGACACTGTTGTATCAATCTGAATGTAATTTATTTTAATGAGTCTCATATTTTTGTGACCTGTTTGGGTTATTACCAGATAGCTATCATGTAGAACTAGTGTTTTTATAAACATCAAATAATCAATTTTCTGTGGATATATGTTAATATGGTATTCATTGATGTTTTAGGTTCTCCTGCCTGTAATGCATACACCAATGCAAATATGTCTGCTCATTACTGTTTGGCAGGTAAGTCCCAGAGACAAAGCCCATCCTGCCCCTTGCAATCTTGTCTTTGAGTTACAAGGTCCCAGGGTGTTGCCTGCCTCTGAATACCTTATCTTTGGGTTACATCATTATGGTAGTCCTGGCCTCGGCCCTCGTCACTGCAGATTGAGTTGATGGATGAAACCATTGAAAAAAAATAGTCAAGTTTTTTATCTCAAATATAGTACAATGTACTAGTATTGTGCTATTGACCCTGGGATCTAACCTTGCCTCTGGAGACAAATGGCATGGAAATTAACATTTATTGGAAAGACAGTAAGATTGCCACCCCAAAATCAGACACAATTTGGGATTAATGAATATGCAAGGAACACCCATTATACTTTTAGAATTTACCCCTTCGTGTGGCACACCCTTAGAGATTAAACAACTTGTTTTTCTTGAAAAAGATAAACACAATCATGTTAATCCTTATTATAGTCTCAACCGGGTAAACTTGAAATATTACCTTTGTTGACACCTCATCATTTTGTCATGCTTGCTTTAAAATTCATGATAGTGATACAGGCCCATTCGGCCTCTTGGTTCATTTTAGTCAATTCTTTTACACATGTTTATACATATATATGGTATGTACATATATCCCTTTGTCATTGTCAGGTAACATGACATTAATGTTCATTTCAGATCCACCTCGACCTGAACCTCAACTTCCTGGTAATTATTGAATAAATCCAAGATGTTTTAAAGAATTGAATCTTAAATTCTTAAAACATATTAATATATATAAACATGCAAACAGCGTTTACTTCTCTAAGTGGCTGTTTTTGATGGCAGTGTTCAAGGCTCTTTTTCTTGTTCAGCTATTCAGTTATTTGTTTAAAATAAAACATGTATAGATTTAATCCTAATATTCAATTCTCATCATTATTTGAATGAAAGGATTGTTTTGATGCATGTTGGTAGATGAATTAGATCTATTTGTGATAGAAGCAGAATGATATACAGTAGTTTGTCATTATTAATTTCTGTGGGTATTTCTTTATTTTTTTATGTTCAGTTCTTAACAACTTGTCAATTTGAACTTCATACACCTGTAGATGACATTATTCAGTGCTCAGTAGAAAGTGTAGGGGATACCTGATCATGACTAGACCTCACACTTAATCTGTTGTATCCAGTGTTTTGTAGAAGTGCAGGGATACCTGACTGTGACTAGACCTCACACTTAGTCTGTTGTATCCTGTATTCTGTAGAAAGTGTAGGGATACCTGACTGTGACTAGACCTCACACTTAGTCTGTTATATCCTGTATTCTGTAGAAAGTGTAGGGATACCTGACTGTGACTAGACCTCACACTTAGTCTGTTGTATCCAGTGTTCTGTAGAAAGTGTAGGGATACCTGACTGTGACTAGACCTCACACTTAGTCTGTTGTATCCAGTGTTCTGTAGAAAGTGTAGGGATACCTGACTGTGACTAGACCTCACACTTAGTCTGTTGTATCCAGTGTTCTGTAGAAAGTGTAGGGGATACCTGACTGTGACTAGACCTCACACTTAGTCTGTTGTATCCAGTGTTCTGTAGAAAGTGTTGGGATACCTGTCTGTGACTATTCCTCACACTTAATCTGTTGTATTCAGTGCTCTGTAGAAAGTGTAGGGATACCTGACTGTGACTAGACCTCACACTTAGTCTGTTGTATCCAGTGCTCTGTAGAAAGTGTAGGGGATACCTGACTGTGACTAGACCTCACACTTAGTCTGTTGTATCCAGTGTTCTGTAGAAAGTGTTGGGATACCTGTCTGTGACTATTCCTCACACTTAATCTGTTGTATTCAGTGCTCTGTAGAAAGTGTAGGGATACCTGACTGTGACTATTCCTCACACTTAGTCTGTTGTATTCAGTGCTCTGTAGAAAGTGTAGGGATTGTGTGACTAGACCTCACACAGTCTGTTGTATCCAGTGCTCTGTAGAAAGTGTAGGGGATACCTGACTGTGACTAGACCTCACACTTAGTCTGTTGTATCCAGTGTTCTGTAGAAAGTGTTGGGATACCTGTCTGTGAATATTCCTCACACTTAATCTGTTGTATTCAGTGCTCTGTAGAAAGTGTAGGGATACCTGACTGTGACTATTCCTCACACTTAGTCTGTTGTATTCAGTGCTCTGTAGAAAGTGTAGGGATACCTGACTGTGACTAGTCCCCACACTAGTTTCTGTTGTAATCTATATTTTAGATGACATTATCCAGTGCTCCGTAGAAAGTGTCGGGGGATACCTGATTGTGATCCAGTACCTCCTCATCTGTAAGCTTGTTCTAGTAACACTCCTGTTTGCTATGTTTGCGTGAGTATTCTCAAACAATTGCAAATCCTTTTTCAATTAAATGTCAATAACAAGGCCCCTATACAATTACTCCTTGTGATAATGAACAGTTTTTACTTCAGAATTTGTGTTATAATTTTCTGCTTAGTTTAATTTCTTATACCCCAACCATGTTATGGTGGGTGTATTTTAGTTACATATGTCTCTGTCTTGTCATCTCATGTCACATGCTGTTCCAAATTAATGTCATTTCTTCAAAACCTGAACATGAGATTTGTTTCATGTTTATTCCATAGTATCAGAACACCAAACTCTACACCCTGTGATATTAAAATGGTAATCAGTCAAGGTTAAATGGATCAAAGGTCAGAAAACGTTGACAATTAGCACATACATTTGTATATGCATGGAAGTGGGAGCATTTATGTCTTAGAATCATATTAAGTTTTTCTCACATTGTTTCATTTCATATTTTTAGTCAGAGATTTAATTCTAATCAGCTGTTATGTAATTTCTGGTGTTGGGCAGGTGAGCTTAAACCCTTGCTGATGTAGTGGCATATCTGGCCTGAAATATGCTTGAATGAAACACTACAAAATTGATTCAAATGAATGAATGTTTAATTGGCCCACTTTCAATATTACTGTGGTCACATGTATTGAAAAAAAAACATGTTTTTCTCAATATGCATAAGGCTTAGGTGATGATATTTCATATGTTGAATGAATGACCTTGCCCCACTTTAAAAATTACAGGGGTGAAATTTGTCAAAATCATTCAACAGCCTTTTTTCAATTACCAAAGGCACAAGTTCACAGTTTTTGTTTGGTGACCTGCTTGGGAAATTGGCTGTCAAATATTCAATTTATAAACCAACAATTATTTTTTGAGCTTCAGAAAAGACAAGTTACACAGATCAGGTTCTTAAAAAATAAATTTTCACTTTTCCTTTCATAATTATTTCTGATTGTCATTAACTCACTGCAACTCTGCTACATAGGTACTTACTTAACTTACTTTATTTGGCAATCTGCTAATATTGTATGAGATTGCTGTTGTTATTAGGGGTATAAGCACCACAAGTTGACGGGTAATTTACATAATCAGTGCATTACATAATGTCACATTTTTTTCTCTCTAAACTGTTGGAATTATGTTCATACTAAATGTGCTAAGGAACTAAAAGCAGTTGAGTTTTGAATTACATAATTTCTTTTTCAAGGATTGTGCTTTCATGGTTGTAAGTAAAAAAAATGTGTCCCGCTGTATATAGCATACTAGATTGGTCAAAACATTGAATGATGAAATCCATGGTCTTAGTGCATTGCATATGTATATCAATATCATATTATACAAAAGCATATTAAAATAGCCTAGCTATACAAATTTGAAACTTTTTTGTTTTCACAATATTGTTCATAGTTGTTTTCACCAACATCGAATATAAGGTTGCTTTCCACTTAATGAATGCTTAGTTTTTATAATGATACAAGAAGTTGTACATTGTAGTCTATTTATAGGTCTGTGTATAAATTTCATTTTTTTTATTTTATATTTAGTGATTTCGTTTTAAGTAGTCATTTGATGTCCTATATTTATTAGTATTGTTGTATAGCAAATGTGTTTGGCTCTATAGTAACAAATATAATCTATCAACAGTGTGTAATGTAGACAGATAAATTCCAACACACTGTTAAAATTTTTTGAAGTGCTTTGAGTCTGTCTATTCCACAATGACTTAATGATTTTTGACCAGTGCTATTGATTTTACATTTTAGACATTTTCAGAATTAGCTTTCATGGCTAGATACATGTTGGCTAGTAGAGATATATTCTTTTTTATTGGCGGGGGTTGCACATAGTGCAAATCCGGGTTATAGTATGGTGAATGTCGAGCGGGCGGGGTACCAGTTTTGTAGAATCAACTTCTTCTAGAGTTTTTAATGTAGAAGCTTGAAACGTTTTAGGATGTTTATATATATGTTGGAGATGTGCACCTCCTATTATGAATTCATTTCGGACATTTTTCTGGATTTTCTGGGCTTTGGAACTTAGTTATTGTCCGCAGTTTGGCAAGGAAAAGGGGTACCAGTTTTGTAGAATCAACTCCTCCTAGAGTTTAAATTTAGAAGACTGAAACTTTGTAGGATGTTTATATATATGTTGAATATGTGCACCTATTAATTTAGGATTCAATCTGGACATTTTTCTTGATTTTCCGGGCTTTGGAACTTAGTCATTTTCCACAGTCTTGTGTGGAAAATCCAAGATGGCAGCTTTTGCCTCTCAATGGTCGAGATGTTGTTTTGAGCGCGATAGCCTCTCATAGACTGAAACGTTGTTTTGAGCATGATATATAACATTGCACTCATCCCACAACCCGGCCAATTATGGCTTTGCCCCATTTTTGTAAGATGACAAATCCAGCTCTGGGGTTTTTGAGATCTCGAATTCACTGGATGTCATGATATAGATAATGTTACATACCATGTCACTCAATGGTGCAAAAGCATTTTAATGAAGACTTAGACCTTCTTGTGTAATTTTAGCTCAATACATTCACACATTTTTGCCATTTTTGGTTTAAAGTACCTTTATGACTGAAATTCTTTTGACAGGATATGCTGTATAAAATTCTTTATTAAGGTTTAAATTTTAATAAAAGGTGAAAATTGCTGGGAACCAGACCTAGTAGGTAATTCTATATTTTCAGATATGATTGATATTTTGCATTTTAAAGGTCACCTAGAGTATGTTTCTTTGATAGCCTTACAATAACTAAGGTGGATAAAGAGGCTGGTGAGATTTGGAAGTATCAGCGGTATGCACTGATTATAGACTTCGAGGAACGACTGTGTCTACCCCCTCCGTTCACTCTGATTAGTTACGTCACCATGCTCCTAGTCTTCTTCTACAATCAAGTGTTTGTCTGTCAAAAGGGCTGTCGGTGCTGCTATTGCTGCAAAAGACAGGATAAGGTAAAAACTGTAATTTTAATGATGATACATGTACATGATATTAGAATGTTCCATCTCAGTGTTAGACATATATATCTCAACCTGAAGGAAAGTTTTCAGAGCCTTGTGTCTAAACTTTTAAATATTATCTCGAGGGTTGAGGTATTATGGTGTACATTACACAGATGTGACTATTTTTTTTTCTCTCCAGCTTTCCAAATGTTGTATGATTCAAGTTCTTTCGAGAAACTGATTACATCATGTAGTTAAAAATGAAAAAAGAATTTGCGTCAAAATTGATTACTATGCTCCACTACAACATGGTTACACTAAATAAAGTGATGACGTCTGTCTTGTGGTTTGTGATGTTTTAAAGATGAAAGTCTGCTGGTGTTGTCTTTTCCTGCGAGCTTAATTTGGTAAAGCTTACTTAATTAGCTACACGTTCATTTAAATCTTATGCCTTTGATTAAACACTTTTTAGAGCTATTTATTGGAACTTTTATGATTGTGTGATTCTTTTTCATAATTACAGAAAAAAAATACTGAGAAGATGATCCACAAAGTTCAGAGGATTAAACAGTCGCAGGATTATAATTACTGGCAGAAGTGTGCTTCAGAATACATTACCACCCAGGAAAACGAGCTGGAAAAGAATGCTGTTGTGAACAAACAGACAGAAGTGTATGTACTCTAATGTTCCTCTACTTCACTTACTGTTTAAGTAAAGGTATATTGGTGGTTGGTTGGTGCAGTGGTAACACACTGGCCTTTCACTTAGACATCTGGGGTTCAATTTCTCAGGAAATGGTAATTGGATCATCAATCAAATCACATGGATTTTCCTTTGGTATATAAGTTTCTTCCCACAGTAAAACCCCTTGTGGACTTCCATCCAGGCCAACAATGCTGATTAATATAAGCTGGTTAATTGTTTTAATCCTTGCTTTTGCATTTATTAGCTGTTTTTAGTCTAGGAGCAGAAATAATCTAAAACATACTTGCCCTCAAGTTCTTCCACCGAGACAATCAAACAAGAGTTGGGCAGACCTTGTTACAGAAAACATTGACAATGTCACAATGCACATCCCCTGACAGGAATTATTGCTTTCACAAAGTTTTCAAATATAAATGAGAGAACATAAATGAAAGTGAATTTTAAGAAATGTAATATTTCTAGTTAAAATCATATCTCTTTGGTGAGTAACATTATTGTAGTATGGGTTTACAGAATATAGCAAGTTTCTGGATTCTCTGGACTAGCAAATGCCATTTCCCTCATATCTATACTTTAAATGTATGATGTATGTATCCATTGTAATGAAAAGAGTTTAATACAGTGGCAAGTTTCAATAGTTTGTGCTTTGGAACAACTTCAAATGTTTTATATATATATGTCAAGAGGACAAGAGGAAAGTGAAACAACTGGGTTGGATATAGACCATCAAATGACAGAAAAATCGAGTAAAAATACTTTAAGTTGTTATTGTCCTTACATAAGGGGGTGGGGTTATATAGTAATCACTTTGTGCTTCAATGATGATCGTGTGTATTAGATAACCCATGATCCCATAGACAGATTTAGTTCATATTTTCACCAGTATCATCCCACCAAGGTCTATACCTGTTAGATTTGTCAGTCAAGGTCAAAGGTTGAGTCAGCAAAGCCAAAGGTGGATGACCACTTATGAAATAAAAAGCTTTTGTTTATGATAATAAGATGATAGGATGGGGGTTTGTTTACGTGAGCCACTGTTACAATATACAACAAAAATTTAAGATACACTGTCTACTGACCAAGTGAAAAACTGTTTAATTTACAACTGAGCTAGAAATAAATATAAACAATTCAGTTAATTTTTTTTAAATATCTAGTTTTTCGATAGTGTTACAGCTGTACAATTACTTTTAAGGTATCAAAACATATCCAGGTATCTATATTCCAATATAAAAGCATTCTGTGTTTAAAGTCTTCTTTTTCTTAATGATTTCAGCATCAACTCACTTCAAGAGGATATGAATTTTCAAAAGAAGAATATGCGTCTCCTGAACAACAGAATTGTGGAGTTAGAGAAAATAATGCTGTCTAGTCGTATGTACCTGGAGAACATCTACCATAAACTGGACAAGACAGGTATTCATAGATCAGTATATTCTACTGTAGGGCAACTATATGTAGCCATGTATGATAAACTGAAATATGTTTGTTACAGCATCTTTTCTGTCATATGTCTATAACCAATGCATATGAGAATGTTATGCAGAATTTGATTTCTGCTGGAACAAGAATACAATGTCATGGTCAATACACATTGGTCTGATGAAAGGAATCTTACTAGTTCTGTGTTATTTACAGATGTGTTTGGTGTGGCTAATACAAAAGGACAGATCATCCATATAACAGCCAGGCAGTCCCCCTACCCTGGCACACGTATTGCACGCTTTCCTGTTTTTGACAAATATGTTCCATGGGAGGTCAGTACAGTATACATGTATAAGGAAATTATCAATTTTAAGTACATATCTATTAAATCAAGTATATCAACTGTGACATTCATCTATCTTTCATATACAGTCTGTCAATATCTACTTGAAAAAGATTTCTTCTTGTCATGGATTGCAGGGTCATTATATGGTCAAGTGAATTACCTGTTGTAAGTAAGGTGACAATGGTGACCCATCATTTATGGCAAGCATATTTTCATAATAATAAAACAAGGGAGTCTAAATTCTTAGTTTTAAAACCTTAAATTGTATGCATATTGAATTATACAATTGCTGAGGACCTAATCTTTTCGTGTTTCTTAAAATTTCCTAAATTTACTGTATATCTTGTAATTTTTCATGTTTAAGGAATTAAAATTCCATGATCTGGATGTAAAATAACATCTAAAGCAGATGTCTCATTATTTCATGGATTAATTTTTTGTGATTACATTTATGTACTGCCAAACATCAAAAATATCATCCTGGCATAAATAACAGGCTTTACTGTAAGTTCAGGAGGTTATGTGTTAAACCAGAATAAGGATATACCTACTGTAGATTTAACTTACACACATAACAAGTACAAACATTTATACAGTCAGCAACTGGGGATATTCCCACCCTGTCATTGGTCTAGTTTGTAAATTTACCGATGTTGAAAGTAGATTCAACATACACTTCTACAAGGGAATACTTTCTCTTTTTAGCAAGTTTATGATGTGTATGACCCAAAAATTTACACTAAGCCAAAGGATCAGTTCTGTGAGGATGAAATGGTATTTGTGGATGAGGACCTAATTCAGTAAGTGTAATTCTGTTGATCTAGCAGGTTTGAAGATATTTATAGATTGATATTAAAATGCTTCAAGATTATTATCAAGCTAGACTTATTAACAGAATGCAGTATTATTGATAGTACTTACCTCAATGCACAAGTAGCAGATGATTTACAAAATTAAAGATAGAGAAAAATCTAGATTTTTCAAGTTCCATAAGATGCTATTTCCCCACTTATCGATCATTTTCATCAGTACTACATAGGGGGTACATATATAAAAAAAACAGGTCTGCCAGTTCCAGATTTCAGATTTCCTTATGTGTGATACACTGTGTTGACACAACAGGTTAAAGAAATTACAAGAGGAGCGAGACAGGATGACAGAGGAGGAAAAGGAGGCCTTACCTCCCTTGGTAAAGTTTACAGCTAAGTGGAATGCAGTGGTGACTTATAGACAAGAGTCTCATACACGTGCCATTGACAGAAGATCTTGGATTTCCTTTGATAACCAGCCACATCGTTATAGCTTGGACCCAATGGAAATACCAATGTAATGTTTAGTGTTCCCATCTCGAAATAATAGAGAAAAAAAAATTATTGTTATTTAGAATTGTTTGATGCGTACAGGTTGTTTAGGTGTGTGTTTTAGGGGCCAGGGAAGGTGTGTGTTTGAGGGGCCAGGGAAGGTGTGTGTTCGAGGGGACAGTGATGGTGTGTGTTTTAAGTGCCAGGGATGGTGGGTGTTTTAGGGGACAGGGAAGGTATGTGTTTGAGGGGATAGTGATGGTTTGTGTTTTAGGGGCCAGGGATGGTGTGTGTTTTAGGGGTCAGGGATGGTGTGTGTTTTAGGGGCCAGGGATGGTTTGTGTTTGAGGGGATAGTAATGGTGTGTGTTTTAGGGGACAGGGAAGGTGTGTGTTTGAGGGGAGAGTGATGGTGTGTGTTTAAGGGGACAGGTAAGGTATGTGTTTGAGGGGACAGGTAAGGTGTGTGTTTGAGGGACAGTGATGGTGTGTGTTTGAGGGGACAGGGAAGGTGTGTGTTTGAGAGAACAGGGAAGGTGTGTGTTTGAGGAGACAGGGAAGGTGTATGTTTGAGAGGAGACAGGGACAGGGAAGGTGTGTGTTTTAGGGGCCAGGGATGGTGTGTGTTTTAGGAGACAGGGAAGGTGTGTGTTTGAGAGGAGACAGGGAAGGCGTGTGTTTGAGGAGACAGGGAAGGTGTGTGTTTGAGGGGACAGGTAAGGTGTGTGTTTTAGGGGACAGGGAAGGTGTGTGTTTGAGGAGACAGGGAAGGTGTGTGTTTGAGGAGACAGGCAAGGCTCGTGTTTGAGGAGACAGGGAAGGTGTGTGTTTGAGAGGAGACAGGGACAGGGAAGATAATGTCCTCTCGATGTTGTAGTTTGAGATAAACTTAGTTGACTTATGTGTCTATTGTTACTACATAGCTATTACTTATGTTAAATTCATACTCAATTTAAGTTGTTTCATGAAGGGACTTCATGCATTTATACAAAAGTAAAATATGTAATATAATAATTGGTGTGTGCATTTTATCTACTTGTTTATACAGTAATTCTATGGGGAGAACTGGTCTGAGAGGCCGTGGTGTGTTATGGCGCTGGGGCCCTAACCATGTAATCAAGGCAGTCTGCACCAGATGGCGTCACAAGTACAGTGATAATGATGCACAGACTGGTTTCCTGTATGTCGAGGGTAAACGTGTTCTTGAATTCATTGCCATCAAAAAGCTTGGGGATGAAGTAACTGTAGATTCTGGATCCACTTACGGTCTACCAGGGGTAAGTATCAGTTACATGATTGCCTGTAGCTAGCACCCCTGTCAGAGTTGTTGATTATTGACAACAGTAATACTATAATATAGGTACAATGTATAAAATACTTCATTACAAAATCTTCCAAGCATTATGCATCCTTGTAAAAGTTTAAATTGAGGAATTTTTCTTATGAAGGAAGTCCTACATGGACGTATCTCTCCCAACAGTATGTTTCCTTGTGTGTTTTGTGACTTTCATGATGGTCTCTTTTAAGGGAGACCTACACGGACATATCTCTCCCTATAGTATGTGTCCTTGTGTGTTCTGTGACTGTGTTGATGGTCTCTGTTTTAGGGAGCCCTACATGGACATATCTCTCCCTATAGTATGATTCCTTTTGTGTTCTGTGACTAAGTTGATGGTCTCTGTTTTAAGGAGACCAAAACAGACATATCTCTCCCCACAGTATGTGTCCTTGTGTGTTCTGTGACTGTGTTGATGGTCTCTGTTTTAGGGAGCCCTACACAGACATATATCTCCCTACAGTATGTGTCCTTGTGTGTTCTGTGACTGTACTGATGATCTCTGTTTTAGGGAGCCCTACATGGACATATCTCTCCCTATAGTATGCAGTGTCAGGCATTTATGAAGGATGTACTAATGGAGGACCAAGAACCCAAAAATAACCTGGACCAGTCAGACATGATTCAGGTATTCTGTTGTAGCTCTCCCATCATTGGTGCCTTACATCACAGATTTGGCATCCCATGTTAATCACAGTATTTGTGTTTTATTTCCAGATATCATTCAAATTCTGAAATCGCAAACTAGCTGAAATGGCACCGATGAATTTAATGTTTCTAAAAATAAATTGAGAGGGTATGATCTTAAATATAAGATATACATCTGGATACCTGGGTGATCACTACAATGTAGCTTGTTGCAGTAGCTCACAGTATCTGATAGTAATACTAGCTCCAATCTCACCCATAATTTAATTCAATTTTGAAAGGTCTTTGATCTTTGAAATACCTCATTACATTTCCACAAGTTTGCCTCATAAATCTTTCAACACATACATACTTGAGAACTAATGTATAATTCCAGTCGCAGAATTCTATACAATTTTGAATTTAGGTCACTATACCCACAAATTATTATCTCTGATAATTAATTCCAAACATTATCAAACAATCTGATCATAGTTCCATTTCCTGTGTCATTCTGTTAATGAATGGGAAGCATACAGATCAAACTGAATTTTGATATGATCTGAGAACCATTAATACACACGGATAAGATATGAACAAAGGAATCAATAATTTACTAAATTAATTTTGATTGAAGAAGTAAAAAAAAATGCAAAATCAAGTACATGAAATGTATCATTCAATGCTCTTGCCTCCATTTCCTCATTGCGCCATCTGGGGGGCATGAAATGTCTTTAAAAACAACAGTAAACATAGGTTTAATGAGATTAAGCTTGCGGTACAATTGCCCAAACTTTATTTGCAGTATTTTGCTCAGTTTTCGGCTAATGTGATTACCCCTGTCCGAACACCTGTCACACAACTGCCTAGCCCTGTATCCAGCGCCACCCAGCTGTCCTCCATCCAGCCCTTCCTGACTCGTACTAACTCCAGGACAAGTTTACGTACACACGGGGAAGGGGACAATTCAGGCTATAGTGCATGCCTGTTATACAAAGGCTATGTAGATGATCCCCGTAACACTGACAATGCATGGGTGGAGGCTGAGGTGTGGAACTTCCATTATGATGGTGGAGACACTTTTGACATCAGAATTCCTGAGGTAGGTACTTTTGTTTGACAAGAAGAAGGAAAATTTTTAAATTTTTTTTTTCAATGCTTTATTATAGTTTCTTTTAAATCAGAAGACAATTTTAATCTATTTATTTCCATTTTTCCTAAATAGTTTTATACAATAAAATAGTTAAGAGATAGAAAAATTTTCTTACTCCTAATTAATAAATCATATTAATTGTAAAACTATTATTTTTTAGAAGAAAAAACAATGCGTTAATGATATGACTATTTATTTTGTTACAGGATAGTTCACCAACTTGGAAGGAAGTTTCACCCAATGTGAAGATTTTTGGAAATGAAGGTGTCATTGTACAAGAGGCTGCCAAAATCCATGATGCATATCATTAACACAGGATATGTGTAGAATGTAGCCCCTTTTAATGTCTGTGTTGAAGTATTTAGCACTGCCTCAGCTAACTGAAACTTGGTAGTACAAATGCTGATCGTGCTGTGTGATTGTCATAGAATTATATCATACAAAGTAGTTCCAGACAAAACGCTAAGAAATTTCACATTGGTACTTATATGGTTCTCTAAATAACTTTGTCAAGAATTGTGCATAGTAATTAACACTACATAGATATGAGAATTAGATGAAAGCATGACAGTCTTAGTTAATGAAAGTCACATTTATTTTACTTTACAAATATTTACAAGGTCAAAGCTTTAATAAATTTGTACTTACAAAATGTACTACAAGCCGGGATAGTAACCTAAATCTTAATGTCAGCTTTATCAGGAATTCTTTTTAAACACTGTCTCCTTTTTTAAAATGCCTCTGCTTTAATCATTCATATCACATTAATTGAATCTGTTATACAAAAAATTGAAGTAACTAAAAAGACCTACAATGTACCAGGAATGAGATTTAGTGGATATAACGATTTGGCTGAAAGCATTGATGTTTAAAGGGCTCTGATATAAAGAGCTGACAATTATGTCATTATTTTGAAATATTAATGTGGTAAGTTTTCCATCAATATTGTTAAATAAAGAAGCGTTTAGATGTCACAGAAGTGTCAGTCCCTTACATAGTGATCAGATGATTGTTGCTTCATTTTTCCAAGAAAAAAAAAAGCTTTAGATATGCTTGCATAATATCAGTATTTTGCTACTTTTCAGACTGCAGGAATTTGAAAAGGGTGATATCTGTGGATTCTGCATTGTCAATATACAATGTATATTATTATTTGTACATTACAACGGCTGTACATAAAATATCACATCTTAGAAGGAACTTTTCTATTTTTCGCTTGCTTGATTTTTCAGCCCATCACCATCAGATGGTGCCAGATACAAATTACCCTTCGTCTGTGGTCCTTCTGTCTTTAAATAGTGTTTATTATCACTATTCCTTGAGATGTACTTGATGGATCTTTCTCAAATTTCTTTTGTATTTTCTCCTTGGTCCTCAGTTCTGCCCTTTTGACTTTGGGACGTCTGAGAAAAACAACATAGCGGTAAGGCTTGCACATACATCTTGGATATGACAGATTTTTTTGTATTATTTTAAGAGAAGTTTTCAACAGAGGAAAGGGAAAAAAAGATTGGAAATGATCAAACATCAAAGAACAACTCTAGATAAAAAAAAGTGGGCACCAAGATCCCTCTGGGATCTCTATTATCTTTTCTGTTTTATTTACATGATGTTAAATATTACAAGTGTATAAACCGATAACTGTATGTTAAGGTTTAATGTAAAATTTTAAGAATGTGTTTCAGTTTTAACTGTACATTAAATGTTATATTTTTAATCGTTGAATTTTAATTTTTTAAGTCACAACGAAGTTCATTGTTTTGTTACAACACTGTTTAATGTGGAAGATTTCAGGAATTTTTCAGTGTTCCAAGCATTCCAGTTTTAATTGTTAAAGTCATACCTCATCTGCTTTTATAAATATTTTGTATTGCCATTGTTTTATATAAGCAATAAAGTATATTTTGTGTAAGAATATCATGATTTTAGCTACAATAATTATGTGTATGATAGGTCATGTGATATTTATGATATTGTTTTTTTTTCTGCTTTCTATTTGTATGAGTGGCAGTTTTCTGTTGTTTTTCTCTCCTGCTTTAAGTTCTACATATGAAGATTATATCAGGAAGTCAAATTGAGATGTTAAAGGTGTGAATTAACACAAGTCATATTGGATAAGACAGCTAATCCTCTCATTGCTCAGTGTCTGCACAGTCATGCATACACCGATTTTTCTAAAGACACATTAAGAGCCCAGGATGGCATATTGTGGAAGTTTACATAAACCAATTACTTGCAGTTAAAAGCTCAGATAATATGAATGAATAAAAGGATAGAAATTGACAATATTTTCTACACATTATGTGTACCTTCACTATGAAATGATGCAGTAACCTTAACCTACCTGTAAATATATATGATAAAACTTATACTGTTACTTTCAGCTATATGTATTGATACAACTATGATGTAAGATGTATTTTGCAATGTTTATTTGATAACATGATTCTGAAAATATGTCATTCCTAATAGCTTTCTAATTCAGTTTGCAGCACACAGTGGTATACATGCAACTAAATCCAAATACTGTTTCATTTAATAAGAGAGTTTTTAATATACCCTGGACCCTGGTTTGCTGACATCATATAGAAAACATAAGATTTGAGATATTCTGAGAATGGCAATATAGGCAGGTGAATTTGATATAGGGGTTAGTTTCATAATCATATGTGCTTAACACATTTTGAAAATTTCTTGAAATTCATTATGGGTTTTATTATACAATTTTATATGATATAAATAAATCCCGAGAATATTTAAAATTTTATCACATAACTGACCTGTTGTGTCCTGTCATGTAGCCATGTCGTAAATATTGAAGGACATATGTATAATACCATTGGGACATCACCATTTAGTCGCATCTAAATGACATTGCATAATTGTCTCATTAGCAGTTAGCATACATTCCTTGTCAAAATAAGCCTGATTTATAAGGAAATTTATGTGAGAGTTTTCAATTTTTTCCCCCAAAATACAAGTTATTTGATAAATAAAGACTTGACATACTTGTATCAAATTATTGAACTCGTTTAAAAAAAATTTTTACTTATGAGTAGATTGAAAATCTCCAGGTTTTGAAGTATTAATTGTAGATCTGAAAGACAGTTGAAGAGTGTCAGGTACATTTGTTTCATATCAGGGTAATACAAAATTACATGTCTATAGATTTAGTTATGGCATTGTCTTTCAATTATGAGCCATCCATATTTTCCTATGCTATCATTATTGCCTAAATTTTGTGCTATTTTTTTATCATATTGTGAGAAGTTGTAATTGGTGCTTTATATGTATTTGATAGCTCGTACCTTAAGATGATGACATAGCATTATGGTTTTGATTTATCAGCAAAATTTGGTTAATGTGATTTCAGTGAAATCCTATACACAATACTTACAAAGTAAGTTGTACTGTATTTGATTGGAAAAAGAATGTCTTTATTCCGAAAGATCTTGGGAGTACAAAATAAGGACCTTTTTTTCCCTCTTCATTGTTATGTTTAGTCCTCATGTTTATGCTTTAAGAGAGAGATGATGTAATTTCCGAAAAAATTGTATATTTGTTATACAGTGATACATGTAACATATCACTATCATACTTAACCAGGAAGAATGTTTATATACCGGGTATACATTATTGTGTGTCTCATGATAGTGTACTGTTGCCTTTTTCAATCTGTCCGGATAAAACATGAGCCTTTGTGATGCATTTTATGTATTAAAAATTCATTGTTTTGAATTTTTCAAATTGATTATATCACAATCATAAAAAAATAGGGAGAGAGAACTTTTCTTGAGGTAATCAGATGTTTACATGTACAGTGTATGCCGCGCTCTGAACTGAGTGGCAAACAACTCTATCACTGCTTTCACAGTCTTTAGTGTTCTATGAAGTGCATTTACTTTTTGATACTAGTCAGTCAAGCTGTTGTACATATTTTATTTTTCACATACCATTAATACACATAAACATGTGTTGCTACACTCTTAGTGTCGCCCTGTACACAATTATCCATGTGTTGTTTTGTATAATACAAGCATAATCTAAAGCAATGTTATAATCATCGCTTACTGAGAGCTTTTAACTTAGAAGGGAAATCTCACTGTTAGGCTGCATAATCTGGAGCTAAGGAGTCCTGTGTTTTTTATTATTTGAATTTTAATTTACAGTAATGGTCATACTTGCGTGAAAAGTAATTCTTGTAACACAACCAGTAGAAGATTAGAGTGTGAAGTTTCGATGATAGTGTACAAGATGACAAGGAATCAACCAACTTTATCGGCTATACTATAATCCTAAGTACACAAGGTCGAAAATAGTGTGACATGATGGTAAACATAATATAGACTAAAAAGAGATACACAATGGTAACACTGTACTATAATCAATTCAGCTACACTTTGTTTAATACTTGGTCACATTAACTAGCAATTGCTGCTCCTAAGCCTTTAGATCATATGCTGCCTAACAAATGCTGGTTCCTAGATTTAGTAGGATCTTGCAGTTACAAAGTGCATTCGTTTCATGGGCACTGTACAATTCAGATAGTCGTTTATGCCTATAACTGGTTTATTGTTTCTTATTATATTTCATAGTTTTGTATTTCAAGATCCATAAAATACAAGCTTGAGCTTAGACATTTTTAACCATGTTGTGGATAAGGAGTCAGCTTGATATGTTTTTGTTGTAAAACTAAAGTTGGCTAGTAGATGCTGTATACCAGGCACAGTGTTATGTAACCCATATGAAGCATTCAAAAAAGTTACATAATGGAAAAGAATTCTTCCTATTTGAGGTGTCCCACATTTAGCTGGTAGATGCTTATTGTGAAAAATTTATATAAATGAAGCATTTTTAACTACACGGAGCTTTAAGAATATTACAATCTCTTGTAAAACTTGTTGATTCAGCATACACCTTGGTATGTACCTGGTAGCTTGTCATTTGTCAGCATAATTAGTGACATACCTTCATACATTGTGTCTGGTCATCGATGACGATCTTTGAATTCAAATGATGAAGACCCAATGATTCAATATAACATTTCAAAATCCATTTCATACCGTAAATGATTTTTAATTAATAATATTTAATAGGTGAGTAGCATCATATCTTAATAACATGTATTTTTTGTTTATTTTTCTATATTAGTTTTAAGTTTGAACATTTCAAGAAAAAAAACCTTACACATGCTTAATGTTAATATTACAGGTTACTGGAGCTTAATGGTCTATTCATTTAATGTATGTCCAAATAAGGATATACTGATAATAAAGCTTTGAGGAAGTATTATTTTCAGCATACTGCCAGCATTGAAAAGAGTATCGTCGATAAAATATAAATGCCAATGTATAATTATCAAAGGAGGGTAATGTTTAAAATATAAG